TTAGTATTTATTAAATTAAAGAAAAGGTATTTAAACACACTTAAAATAATTGACCAAGTTAGAATTATCAAAACAGTACCAAACTTTTTGTGGAGATAGATATTAGCAGGTCAAACTTACACAAAAAGTTTCAACATCACAGGATTAATATTTTTGTCTACAAAAATTATGCAAGGTACATTTTATAATTAAAAGAAGTAATTTTTAAGCATACCAAAACTACTGCGAATGACCAAATCATATTTTTCCATGGTAGAGCATCTCATAACAAAGCTACACAACAAATATCATAATTTTAGCATTCACCAATAATTATTTATGAAATTCACAAATTTCAGCTGAAAACACAAAAAGAAAAAGAAAAACCCTGTAGCGCACTATTCATATGAGTCACAGGTTCTGCAGAAGACCCCCTGGAAAGCTACTATTGTTGCCCGAAGTCCTTGGTTGCGAATTGGAAACAGGACGCCGGAGAAGGCGCGATTTCCGGCCGGTTGATGCTCGACGGCAGCGAGGGAGAGGTGCTGGGGCATGCTCGGGCCTGTGCGCACCCGCTGGTGGCCACGTACTGCCCCTCCATGGCCCGAGGAGGCGTGGCCACGCGGACAGCGGCACCGGCGGCAGCGGCCTCCGCGGCGAGGCCGCAACGGTGAGGGAGGTGCCGGGGAAAGGAGCTGGAGAGGAGCGGCGCTAGGTGGGGGAGATGTATCCGGCGCTGGTTCCAGTGGAGGCGGCGTAGAGAGACGAGGACGGGCGGCGACCATAGGAGCTCGGCGGCCGTCCAAGGCGGACATGGCCGGTGGCACGCGCGAAGCTGGTTTCTGGTACAAAAGTTCCTATATCAATGGGAAATGCCCTACCTTTGAGTGCGGTTTGAACTATTGATTTACGTAATTGGAAGTAACCAATTAGGTTTACGACGAAACCTAGAAATCGATCACTGATCCAATTTGACTACCTCTACGGGATAGACCTCAACAGAAAACTGTTGAGTAACGGCAGCAAGTGATTGAGTTCAGTAGTTCCTCATAGAAAATTATTGACTCTAGAGATATGGTAATATGGAGAAGACAAAATTGTTTGAAGCACGCACAGAACCGGACCTCCGGCACGCGGCTGATAAAACGGAGAGGCATATGAGCATCACGAGGTCATAAGAGAACTAAAACAGCAAACGAGGGAGCAAGAGACGCATCGGAGAAGCCTGGCCACGGTGGAGCGGTCCACGGCAGCCATGGCGGACCGCCGCAACGGACACGGCGTGCACGGCCGAATTTGGCAGCGAGGAGCGGCGCGAGCGGGTCAAGGAGATGCGCGAGGGCGAGACGAAGCTGCAGGCGAGAGCTATAGGGCGGAGGCGGAGCAGCCATGGCGAATTTCGCCGGCGGCCGAGGGGCACGGCTGTGGCGGGGAAGAGAAAGAAGGGAAGACGGCGGCCGGCTCGGCTTAAATCGACGCGGCGACGCTTCTGGGCGCGCCAGCAGCAGGTTGCCATTGCCACCGCGAATAGGTGCGTGGCAGGCACGCGCGAAGCGGTGACGGCGGCGGCCACCGACGTTGAGCAGCCTGGCTGCTTGCTGCCGGGCTACTGTTCATGGCTGACAGCACATATTTCTCCCTCTCTATCTCTTGATTCAGTGCAGCAACTCGATCTATAACCTAAATAAAAGTTGTTCATCTACATGCCCTCTCCAACTTTTCTTACAGGATCAACCTCGAACTTCTACTGGATTGAGAGATCAAGGTTGAGGAACATCAGCACTTTGAAACCTAGCCTCTGAACTTCAGTTAGGGTTTAGGAAACAGTTTTGTTATCAACTTTGAGCAATTAATTAACAACTAATTATTGATCAATCATCCCAACAAATTACACCTTATCAAATCTTAAACATACTATCAATCAAAGGAACAAAGTTTGGGCAAATTTTATTTATAAAAATTGATTAAATAAATCACCAAAAATTGAACTTAATAGCTGCTTTTCAGTGAGCCCCAAATGGCCAAGTATTGAGAAACAATTATTGAATTCAATTTTGGAGCTCAATTTTAAACATATTTGATTTGAAAACATTTCTAAACTTCACTTCTATGTTAAAGAGCACACTTTAAACATCAAAGTTTATTTTCACAAAATTTTGTTTGTTTAATCAAATTTACATATATAAAATCACAAAGAACCTTAATCACTATTATTAGCATCATTTCATGCAGCACATATAACACAACATATGCAACATATGAAAAACTATAATTGAAACATGAAACGCATTAATGACACAATACTTGATGATTATGGTTCATGATGCTCATGATCAAAATTTTAATTGCTTTTTAACATCTGGGATGTTACAAAAGGGTTCCTGATGTAAATGTACACGAGAGAAAGAATATATAAAAATGGTTAGGATAATTTAGAAATAGTATATGATTCCTGATGTAAAATTGTCTTCTATATTTTAGGAGTGGATTATTAGAAACTTTTAGAGATGGCCTAATTTATTCTTTCCAATACTTTTTAGGAGTTGTAAAACATGTTTTTAGGATGAAAATATTGGGTACTCTTGGAGACGCTCTTAGGATGCCATCCACTCTTCTTCTCCGACTCTTCTCAAACTTTCTCCTGCATTTCCACCGGTACATCTGCATGGACCCTGAGGAATTTACCGAGATCAGTGTTGCAAGTCCAAACCATTGCCTGATATAATCCCATGTCTGTTGGGCAAACGGGCAATCTTTGCAAAGATGCGATGGGGTTTCCGGACAGTTTCCACATAACCTGCAGTCTGGATCATTTGCCCATCCACGCTTGATTAGATTATTGGCTGTAAGGATCTTGTTGTGCATTAGTGTCCAGGCAAAGAAATGGCACTTTGGTTCGGCTCTTGCCTTCCAAATAGGCTTTATTCGTATCTTACTGAAAGTTCCACTAAATTGGAACTGATAGGCACTCTGAATACTATACTCTCTATCCGTTGTCCATCGCCATGTAATGTCGTCTTCAACTGTATCATCCAGCGATATATTATGGGTGGCCTCCCATAGCGACACAAATTCCTTCACCTCTTTCTGTGATACCGGCGGATATATCTGGTCTATCCACTTCTCGTTTGTCAAAGACTGCTGTACCGTGATCTTTTTCTTTCGAGTTTTTTGATATAGCAGCGGCGCAATTGATTTGGCAGAGCTAACATTGATCCACGTTGATGACCAAAACAGGGCTGTTCGGCCATTGCCAATGGTGACCGCTGTCGATGATGCATTGAAAAGCTCACCAGTTTTATCGCAGGGGATGTCCAGCTTGTTCCACGCCCTTCCTTTTTTGCTTCCACTGAAACCATAGCCATCTCAATCGAAGGGCCTTGGTAAATCTTTCTAGGTCCAGGATTCCTAGTCCCCCTTCTCCTTTGGACGACAAGTAGTGGGCCAGTTGATCAATGAGTGGCCTCCACTTACATTCTTCGGCGTCTCCCCTCTCCAAAGGAAGCTACAACGAATCCTATCAATTCTCTTGATTAGCCATTTCTACGCTTGGAAAACCGTGAGTTGATATTGGTAAGGAAGATAGGACCGTTTTAACTAAAGTTTCTTGGCCAGATGAAGATAGAAACTTCCATTTCCAGCCCGGCAACCTACTTCCAATCATATCAATTAAAGGTTGCACCTCAATCTTTCGAAGCTTTCGAGTATGCAGCGAAGCAGGCCGAGGTATTTTCCATGGAAGCAGGAAATCTTCTCGGGAAAATTTTGAATGATGGACTGCACCATGTCTAGCTGAAGCCGAATTGGGAAAATATCTGTATTGGCCATGTTAACCCTGAGGCCAGAGCAATCACCAAAGAACGTGAGGATTGCTTGCAGGCTATTTAATTCTAGGGAGAGGGATTTGCGAAAAGGGTGGCGGCGTCTGCGTGCAACGAGCATCACAGCTTCGCCAAGGACGGCAAAACCGGTTGTAGAAACCCTTGCACTACTACAGAAAGCTAAACACCGCCGGCTCTAGGACCCCATTACCGATGGTTTTGGCCCCCGTTGGTGTATGTCGGCGGTGATCGGTGACCTTTATCTTCGTCGGTTGCGCGCCGGCGGTGATAGTATTTTACCACCGTCGGCCTACCGTACCATACGGCAGTGACGGTGTCTTACCACCATCGGCCCGGCGTACGATACGGCGGTGATGATGTAACCATCAACGCTGGTCCGGCGTACATCCGGCGGTGATGATGCGTCCATAGATGCTGGTCCGGCGTACCATTACGCGGTGATGATTGGGCCATCGACGCCGATTCGGCGTACGATACGGCGATGATAATGTAATCATCGATGCCGGTTCGGCGTACCATCCGGCGGTGATGATATAACCATCGACGCCGGGCCGGCATACCATCCGGCGATGATGATGTAACCATCGACGCCGGCCAAGCGTACCATCCGGCGGTGATGATGCAATCATCAACGCCGGCCTGGCGTACCATCCGGCGGTGATGATGCAGCCATCGACGCTGAGCCGGAGCACCATCCAGTGGTAACGATGCGCCTATCATCACGGGGTCATCGTACCAACCGGCGGTGATAATGGACCTATCGATGTCGGACTGGCGTACCGTCCGGCTGTGATGACGAGACATCAATGCCGGTCCAGCGTACCATCCATTGGTGATGTAGGTGCCATCGCACGCGGCTGGTGTTCCTTCCGGCTATAATGAGGGCCAGCGTCACCGCCGCTGTTGTGTTTGTTCCGGCAGTAATGTTGTGTCCATTACCGTCAGCGTTACCACTATGCATCATTATTATTCACAATACATTATAGCACCAACAATACACAAATTTCATGGCTTATGCATCGCCAGCAACATATATAGACAGAGACAATGTATTGTATCCAAACATACATCACCACCGAGACACAAATATCCATACAAAACGACAGCGACAAACATAGTTTTCAAACACTGGCATCCAACAACGGCGGATATATAGTTTTCCGAACACTAGCACCTTGATTAGAGAAGGTGATGGACTCCCTTGGGGTTCATGACTTTGTCTATAATGAAACTGGAAAGATCTTCTTGGAACCCAGATATCTCCAAATCAGTCTGCTCCGGTGTAGATGACACTTCAGTCTGGAACACAAGAAAAAGGCGAAACACAGTTAAGGAAAGCTTTGCTACACACTCAAAGTATGTCGCGAGGTCATCCAAATTTCTAAAGGGGCTGAGGGGCCAAACCTGTGAGCTAGAGAGAGCATTGATGAGGCTGTGCATGTAATGCATGACATAGAACCCGCAGAGATCATTGCCTGCAGGCGGCATTGGGATCGAACCGGCCGATACTACTCGAAACCTAGATCTGCCAAGCTCATGACGTTTCTTGGACCTTGACTTGAACTTCTCGTAGGCTCTATGCAACAAATTCATGACATCGACATAAGATGATCAAAGCTATGTAACAAATAATCTTATCATTGCCAATGTAGTACTAGCTTGTCTTACTTGTTTAGCGCCTCAATGAAGGGATGGATGTTCTCTAGTTGGCTCCCTTGAGAGTCGTAAACGTTGACAGTGGTCCTCTCTACGCTGATGTCAAGAAGGACATGATGGTTGCCGCTGCATTCACAACGCCACCGCCGGTTCCAATTAGGTTCAACCTTCAAATATGTAATAGAGTAGAAAATTAGGCATTTACAGCAAACTTACATGCAGTTGTAGGATAGAAGTATGCTGCGGGATTTGTTGAGATGGAAGCTCTTTGCCAATTCATCGATGGTGCTGGTGTACTTTAGTGCCCGTGATTGCATACCACTGGGTTCAAGAAGCCTATTTGAATCTATTGCGCACTGCAGAAGTCTGCCTCCTTCCTACAAAACAATGTGTAGTTGTTAGAAACTCAACTCGGAGCTATAAAATGCATGGTGTACTAACTAGACTTACATGGTCCACAAGCTCATGATATGAATGTCCACAACTTTTGGTGAAATTGAGACAATGCCTTGAACTGAATCCATAGTGAGTCATCTTTTCCCCTGTACAACTGTTTATCCAAAATTCTTTCCCCGAACTAAACAATACGTTGACCTTTGTACCAATTACACACCTCCCGCCCACTCGGTCCTAATTTTAGGACTTCTCCGGGAGCCACTAGATCACCCCTAGCCTGAAACTGCCATACAGGTGGTGCCTCCTCTCTATCCCACCGAAGCTTAGCATCTAGAAGTTCTTCCTCTGTCGTTGTGTTTTCTTTCTAGTTTTGAGATGGTTGAGTTGTAGTCCTAGTAGATGGACCGGTCTTGCGAGTCTTGGGTCATAGCGGTTCCTCTATCGATGTGTTTTCTTACAAGTTCTGAGATGGTTGAGTTGTAGTCTGTTGACGGTAGTTAACAACCATTATAAACCGTCAATATAACATGCATAAGGGTATAACCAACAAAGGTCTAGGAGTTTAAACTAACAAATTCTACGAGTTTTGGTGAATCTGTATTTTCTGCAGGGTTTATCTAGAAAACCATCAAGGTGGACCAAGATGTCTGATTTAATCGCGCTTATCCACAGCGAAAACAACCCCAGAAGGTTCTAGAAGACTCAAGAGGACTCCACACCGAAGCGGAGGGTGAGGCGCCGCCAGGTGGGGCCGGCCGGCCCCACCTGTAGGCCAGCCGGCCCCTAGGGCCCACGTGTTAGCTCCCCATTGTTATGTCGGTTCTCCACCGCATCCTAAATTGCATCTATGCCGTTTATTCAAGTCGGTTTGATCCGAGGGCTCTGGATTGATGCTTCGGCCTATATATGCTAGCCCCTACCCCCCTCCCTCAGGCATTGCATAAATCATTTGAGAAGACAGAAATCCTAATCATCCTCAGAGCTCCACCATATTCTAGGACATATATAGTTAGGGTAGGTCTAGAGGGTGGCAATCAGGTTTTGCTTGGATTCCTAATCATGTCAAGAGCGTGGTTGGGTATAATCTTTGTACTCCCTCTTTTTTGTATCTCTCATTACTTTTATATGTTTGCAACAATTATTGTGACAATATTATTCATATTGTTTATGTTCCTAGTTATTATGTTCATGGTCTACTTTGATTATATACTTAGTATAGCTAGATTATCCTTATATTTCTACATAAGTTCATATAGCGCTCACTCTAAGGTACCATGGGTGAGTGGTCGACATTGTATAAGCGTGGTGCTTATTAGTTGTTTACCTACGGATACACCCTATATTTCGGGTCATGTGGTAGATCGCGGATGTGACACTCCCATTGAGTCCTTTGTAGTCCACTCCTCGAATATAGGTATACAAGTAAGATCTAGTTACGAAGGAAGACAAGCTCTATTCTTAATCTTTCTTAGTAATATCCCTTATGTGTAGATATGAAGTTGATCTTAGCCATGACTACTAAGTGTAATTGCACTAATCAATGTATGCTTTAACTTATAATTAAGAATGACTTAGGAATTATTCCTCTAATATTCTACTTAATCATGCTAATGCCATAGAAAGGAGTACTCTGAGTGATCAATGATTAGTTATTATGCAATATTCATATATAAATTTACCTCTTGACTTACCCCTGTTATGAGTAGAATATTGGTTATGGTTTACTTCTACATCAATAAGTTATCAATACATGTCCTTGCCAGACCTTCCCTGTGGTTAAAATATAAATAACGATACCTGGAATACTCTCGGGCAAAGTGCTACAATGGTATATTATCTGTGCGCTTGCAGATTCCTTTCATTCGTATATATCTATATATTCCTAGTCACATATATTAATAAAGAACTACTCTAGTAGTAATACTAGGTAGTACCAATAAGCATTTCTGGCACCAACATTAGGGATGACAACTTAGTAAAAGATGCTAAGGAATGTAAACAACATAGGGTGACTACTTAAAACAAGTGACACGTTAATAAATACCAACAAGCATTTTTGGCGCCGTTGTCGAGGAAGGTAGCTAGGCAAAGGAAGTATTGATAAGCTTATACTTATTGATGTGATCGAGATAACCATTGACCTCTGCTCAAACAGGCTTACCCTTGTTTTGTCTACTTTTGTATCTTATTAAGGGTAATGTATGACAGGTTTTGACCTTCCGACAAACTACGTTGACGATCCAGAAGCATTACTTAAGAGAACTAAGGCTAAACTCAAGAAAGTTTCAGCTTTAGAGTCGGAAGACAACCAGATAAGGCGGAGCTTAACACCAGAATTTGAATCCATGGATAACAAGATTCTCCATGAATTCTCTGCTCCAACTACAGCCAACATTTGAACCGGACCAATAGTCAATGTTGGATACAATGGATTCGGGCTCAAGCCAGCCCTCATCAACATGGTGCAAGCAAGCCAGTTTTGTGGGAAGGCACATGAAGATACGAGTGCTCATCTCCAACACTTTCTAGAGATCTGCGACACCTTCACCATCAAAGGAGTGACCAGAGAAGCCATACTACTTCACCTCTTCCCATTCTCACTCTTGGGGAAGGCAAAGCAATGGTTCTATGCCAACAAAGATAGAAATACTATATGGGATAACTGCTCCACTACCTTTTTAGTAAAGTTCTTTCCCACAGGCAAGACCAATGCTCCATGTGGGAGAATCTCAAGCTTTCAACAACAACATGATAAATTTGTCCCTAAGGCATGGGAACGCTTCCAAGATTACATTACGGAATGTCCTCATCATGGGATGGAGAATTGGCTACTCATGTAGACTTTCTACCATGGGTTGACCAATAGTACCCATGAGACTATGGATGCTGCTATTGGTGGTGCATTCCTGTCACTCACCATACCAGCTACAACAGCTCTTGTAGAGAAGATGGCCTCCAACCAAGGTTGGAATGAAGAATGTCTTCAAATCCGCAAGAGAGGTGGAGGTATGCATCAACTCAATGAGGTAGACATGCTGTCTGCTAAGATGGACCTGCTGATGAAGAAGCTCGAAGACCGAGCCAATGAGAAGCAAGAAGTCATGCACATTCATGATTCCCGAATGACATGTGAAGAGTGTGGAAACACTGGGCATTCAGGGAACATCTGCCCTAAAATTCATGAGGATGTGGATTTCGTCAACAACAACTACTTTCGTCCTCAACAAAATCAAGGATGGAATCAGCAACAGAGGCCAAACTACCAAGGTAATTACCAAGGTAATAATTTTAATCAACCACCCTTGAGAGAATTAATTTCTAGCCAAGCTAAAATTATGGAGAACTTATCTAGGAAACTAGCTTCCAATGATAGAATATTAGAAAATATGAGTAATAAAATAGATAACCTCTCCTCTGCCATTAAGAACCAGCATAGCTTTAAGAAAATGATAGAATCACAAATAGCTCAGCTGGCAGCTGCTGTTCCTTCGACCAAGAAAGGTAAGATTTCGGGGCAACCGGAAGATCTAGAAACTGCAAATCTTATCGATATTCATAATGCAACATACTACTGTATACAACCATCAATGGGAAGGTGGATAGACTACACCTTGTCGTAAAAGAAGAGCGATCCAGGGAGACCTGTCATCCCCATCGCCATTGGATCTCACATTTTCCAAGAAGCTGTCTATGACTTCGGAGCAAGTGTCAACATTATGCCTAAGGTAATCTATGATAAAATTAATGGAGATACTTTATTGTACACAAATATGCGTTTGCAGCTTACAGATCAGTTACTCTGCTACCCTAAGGGAGTTCTTGAAGATGCCATTGTTCAAGTGGGACAATCATATGTTCCCATAGATTTTGTTGTTTTGGAAACAGGTGGAGATGTAAGGGCACCCATTATCTTGGGCCGACCTTTCCTAAGCACCGCAAAAGCCATCATCTACACGGACAGTGCCAAGATCTGCTTCACAATCAAGGATAAAAAGGAGGAGTTTTCTTTCAAGAATCATATATTGTAATCTCCTGGACATCCACAAACGTCGTACCTACCCGAAGAGACAATAGTAACCAAGATGAAAAACAATAGGAGAAGGAGGAAGAACAAAGCCAGGCAATCACAAGAAGAATTAGTCAACATGATCAACACACTCAGATCAGAGTACGACCACCTCCTCGCTTCACCATTCCTTGCTAAGAAGGATGATCTAGGCGTACACACGATCGAGTGTACTATTAGACAAAGAATCTTCCACAAGACCTTCTACGACATAGGGTCGGGTGTCAATATAATGTCCAAGGTAATATATAAATATTTATTTGGTGATGAACCTTTGTTTCCTACATATACACAATTGCAGATGTTAGACCAATCAATCTGATTTCTGGAAGGAATAGCAAAAGATGTCATGGTAAGAATACACGACCAGTTTGCCCCTACTGACTTCATGGTTCTGGACATGGGAGAAGAATAATACGATACACCCATCATCTTGGGAAGACCGTTCCTCAACAGCACCAACGCGATCATCTACGTCAGATCTGGATAAGTCCACTTCCAATTCCCTAGAGAAAAGGTACGGTGTTATTTCAATAGTTACACCACTTATGAGCAGCCAAAGAACACCTGCTCTAGGAGACATCGATCATCCCAACTCCATAAGAATCAATCCCCAAAGAATGGTTGGGAGAAAGATGAAGAACCTAAAGAACCCATGAAAGATGAACCTAATCCACCTAAGACTAGTCTACAGACCAAGCAGGTATGGAAAGAAAAGGTGACATCATCAGAGTCACCGTCACAAGAAGTACAACCATTAAGGTCTCTAGCTCCGAGACCGGATGATTCACCTGAAGAATAAAGAACAAGACTCTAGTAAAGTCCTGTCCGGAGGACTTAAAAATCCGAACCCTCACCGGGAGGTAACATCGGTAGTTATCCATATCTACTTTTTCGCATTGCATGATTTATTTTCACTTTTAGCATATTTACTCTTCTGCATTAGTATTGCATTAGTAAAAGTAAATAAAAATTGCATCATTACATTATTAATGCCTAAAGCCCCATGTGAATAATTTTCTTGGTGTGTAAAAGCCCAAGGGAGTATTCACTGTGGTGGCATAAAAAAAAT